TGCCACACAAGCAGGAGAACCTTGTCATGGCTGTCAGACAATTTCTGCAACCACATCACCCCTTACATCTGGCCATCTAACTCCCCAGACTGCAAACCCCCCACAGTTGAGCAAGAGACCAACAAAACTCCTTGTAATACCAAAGATAAACTGAAGGCAAAGATTATGGTAGCATTCACCATCTTAAACAAGGAGTCTGTGCAGAAGATTCCAAAGTCATCTGTAGTTGAAGCCAATGGCGATTTTATTGAATAAATTTACTCTTTCAAGATATATAGTATTATTTTGGTAAATATATTTTAAAATGAAATATCAGTATTTTCATTTTTACACAATTTAGACGACAATTTATACATCGCACCCTGTATGTATAGTATGTGAGCAATATGACAAGACAGAAAGCTGGGGTATTGTTCTAAAAGGAACATCTTTTAGCAAATGACAGTTTTATTGATGGACTTAATTTGCATATACAAAAAGAGAAAATACATTAAATGCCAGAAACAGTTTATTTACATCAGAATGTTAATGATACAGAAATGCTCAGCATTTAAATTATCATATATGTAAATTTTAAACTTAGCCTATCTTATTCATTTTTTTCTTGTTACTTTTTATTGTTTTTAATTATCCCACATGACTACATATATAAATAGACTTACAAGGATCAGCTGGAAAATTCATAGGCTGATTGCCTATGAATTTTTCAGCTGACTCTCATATTGCATGCCTTGGTTTGTCCCTGGTGATCCACAAAAGATATAATAAAGTAGTATTGATTTTTTTTTTTTATCAAAATTAAAACCCCTTCAAACTGATTATACAAGCATATCATCATTATAATAAACGTGTGAAATGAGGTTGCAAACACATCCATAAATAGTGCAATTTGACTTACTGATGAACACTGATATATATCAAAATCATCTAAAGTTGATTTTGGGAATGACTCAGCAAGTTCTCAATATGCATATATTGTGCCAGAAATAATGAGGACGTGTAACTCATATTGAATGTATTTTTTTTTTTTTTTTTTATTTCTATTGCATTCAATTAAAAATGGACATGGTCTTAATTAAGAAACAAAAATTAGAAAACAATACTGGTGCATCGAATACTGTTTCATTTAATATATCAGAGACCAAATTAAAAAGTGTCCCACTAAAATTAAATTAAGTCTGCTATAGGTTAAAATGTTGTTAGATAAAACAGTTTGAAAAACATTGTTCCATATACACAAACACATCGTATTTTAGGGAGAACAGTTAAAAATCATGAATAAACAGCAGTTTCTTTCACATACATAAAAGCAATGCATTTATACAACTTTACATTCTTATGTGCCATGTAGCTTCAGGACATTAGCGATCATAGCTCTCCACAACTTCCTATCCTTTGTAACACTTAGCAAGGTTTTTCTTACTGTCCTTTCCACTCCCTGATCTGATCCTGTGTCAAATTCTCCAAACCCTCTTTTATGTATCCTGGGAATTTTGACCATTTCTTTCTGATTCTAAATATAAGTAACCTTTTTGTTCACATTTTAATTAAAATTTGTTTGTTACTCACATACTCCATCTATAATATTCTCAACATTCTTCTGCAGAACCACATATTTTGCCTCAAGTCTCTTCATCTATGAAGAAATTGTACAGCATTTAGTGCCATATAGGAGAATTGATATTACATAATAGTTCAGTACTCTTTTCTTTGTTTCTAACAAACTTTTCCTATTTCTTTATACTTTGCTTAGGTTTGGAAGGCATCTTTCAATATTTTAGTGTGCTTTCAGATTTTGTTGTCACATTTTCTATCATGTTAAAACACTTTTCAGATTGTTTAATTTTGACATCTCCAATTTGTAGCATGCATCTTGGGTAATCACTTTTGCTAATGACCATATATTGTCTTCTTACAATTGAGGGTTAGTCCTTTCTTCCCACAGTTTTGTGTCTGCATATCTTATGTCATTAAGATTGTGACCAGCAATACAAAATTCCTGTAAAATCACTTGCTATAAGGTTAATTAAATCCGATGAAAAGTCAAGGCCTTCTGCCCCTTTCTATTTCTGTGTACTTAATTCATATTTTATATGTATGCAGGCAGTTTGCTTCCAATATAAGTCCTTCTCAAAATAAATCAAGTTTTCCTAGCAGTTAAAATAGATCCTTATCAAATACATTTGCAGTCTATAAAACATAAATATGCATCTTTCTGCACATGTATTAGTATCTCCATTCTGATCATAAATTTAGTATTTTTTGTTAACATTGTCTTTGAGAAAACCAATTTTTGTCCTATTCCCAGTCTACTTCTGCTTTACACTCTACACATCAGAATTTGGATTATTGGCTTGTTTATGTGATTTAAGCTGATTTTCTAATAGAACTTGTATTCATTTACACCTGGTTTCTTAGTCAGTGCTACAAAGATGGATCTACTAAGGCATTCAGCTACTTTCATATATATTATTATTTATGTAATCTTGTTGATGACGAAATCATCTAAGGCTGATTGCATCTCTATTCTAATCCCACCTGGCTCTATTGCATTGCCATTATTCATCTTGGCCAGTGTCAATCTTACTTCAAACTTAATATTTTAGCTCCTTCTATGTTTTCCTCTTTTGCTGTGAAAGTGCTCTCCAGTGTTAAAACTAGATATTATGCAAATTTGTCAGAAACTTGGACAATTTTCTTATTTGATAGTCTTGAATAAATTTCAACCCAATGTTAGTAAAAAATAAACTATGACTATGTTAATAACATTCCTACCAGAAAATTAAACAAGTTAGTACAGAATTCACAAAATATAGATATATTTTGTTTCCTGTTCACAAAAAAGAAAAGAAAAAAAAACAAAACAATATCTTTTGTTCCAAAAAAATTTATTTTTTAATAAAAAACTTAAAACTGAAAAACTTAGTAAAATTGAAAAAAGATTTTATATATATATATATATATATATATATGTTTGTGTTTGCGTGTGTGTGTGTGTGTATGTATGTATGTAAAACAATGTATTTATATTTACAATTTGGTCAGACTCTTCCTAAACCAAGATAAAAAAAAAAAAAATCTCAAGCAAGATGTCATTTTCCCAGAGACTTTACCCTTTAAAATTTGTTTGCAAAGCCAATTTGGCCCTTAAATACTTGGTGACAGGAGAAATGAGTGACCAAATGATGTTGAGGACAAGAGGAAGGAAGTGGGGGGGGGGAAATACTAAACTGCCCTGTTTTAACAAGATTGGGCAACAATATGAAAAAATCAAGAGTAATTTCACTATTTCAGGGCACTTTGTACTTTTTTTTTTTTCCTTTCTCAACAAATTAGAAAATGGTAGGGGTGAGTGGGGAAAAAAAGAAAAGAAAAAAAATAACCCTGAAAATAGAATTTTATTTGTTGTTTTTTTTTTCCAAATTTAAAAAATCTGTCTTTTTCCCTTTGTTGAAAGCAAAGCAATGATACAGATTTGTTATTGTGAAATGAGTTGAAGAAGAAGATGGGTGAATGCATCAAAATTGTTTACTTCTCTTAAAAGAGAGGGAAAAACCAAAAAACCCTGCCAACAGCGACTGAAGACAGGATGATATAAATGAAAGAAAAAATAGTCAAGACTGTTGTTGTGGCTTAAAATAAGATTCAGTGTGGTTATACTTGCTAATTGCGGATGTTTCTACAGGAGGAATGTTCTCAAATAATCGGAACCTGGGAAAAAAATTTCCTAAGTAGAGCAGAAAATTTTAGTTATGTATTTAAAAAAACAAAAAAGAATTTTTTCTTTTCTTTTTTTTAAATGCAGTGACTAACTTAGAATTTGGTAGTATGAGGAGAATAACAAAGATGACATCTGAGAACCATTTGTTTCTCAGTGAGACCAATCAATTAAAGGGAAAAATAATTCAGCAAAGGTTTGAAGAAAATTATAAGCACAAGAAGAAGTCAACCTCACAAAGAAAATTCACACAAGTAAATTCCATGTTTGAAGAAAGAAGAAGAGAATACATTCAGAGGAAGTTTAATTACACTAACAAAACATTCAGTGATAAAGAAAATTAATTTTCAAACCTTAGAGAGAGAGAGAGAAAAAAATATTAACTGTGTTATTTTTAACAAATGATTCCATCCTGTTGGGTTAAATGAAAGAAACGTGTCTTGGCTGATACAATATGAGTCCAGAAAAAAGATTAAGAGAGGGACAATGGGATGAAAAAAATACTAAAAATTCAACATTGTAAAAAAATATTTTTTTTTTAAAAATGCAGTTTTGCAAATTTTAAATTAAAAATAGCGGCCAGTTTAGTGAAGGGAAGAGAGGGACAAGTGAAAATCCAAATCAGAAAGACAGAGAAAAGAAATTATGAGGCTTTTTTTTATGCATGGATAATCAACCAGTGCTGCTTTAGAAAAAGAAAAATAGATGCTTTTTTTTTTTTTTTCCCTTCTTTTGTGTGTGTGAAAGCACCAAGCTTGTCTTGTAAGGCAAAGCCTTTTAACTGCAACTCACTGGGTTAACAAACATTTTGTTTAAGTAGGAAAAGAAAAGAAAGTAAAAAGCCTTTTTTAAAAAATTTTTGTTCTTCCTTCCTCTCTAAAAGATTTCAATACAAAACGTTTGGTTATCACCCCCTTTGTCTTCTGTTAAAAAGTCAGCAAAGAGGTGGGTAGAAATTGCCACACAACCAAAATTACCCATGTCGCTCGCACGCAAAGGCAAAGAGGTTCCGGAATATAGGCTGAAACCTTCTCTTTTCCTTATCATGTAGGTTTGGAGTATTTTCTTCAGAGCTTTTCTTTAGCAGTTTACTCTCTTTTCTCATAAACCTTACTTCTCTTTCCTGTCTACAGACCCCAACCATCAAAGAATGGCTTTAGGTACGTATCCATTGTGTGTGTGTGTGTACACTGGACATTTATCAAACCAAACAATGAAATTAATCATTTTTCTCATTTTCTTCAGTTCTTCCTCATTATCCACAAACCTGCAAAAGACTGACTTATTCATCATCTTTGTCCTTCTGTGGTTTGATGTCACATGCTTCAAACAGTTCTTCCGGAGAATAGCCAAGTAGACCCTGCAAGTCGCATACAAAACGATAAACATAGCGTTTGCCTGCCGTTTTATGAATAATGTTCTTATCATAGTAATAACGCAGACCACGGCTTAACTTTTCATAGTTCATTTTAGGTTTGTTTTTGCGAATCCCCCATCGACGGGCCACTTCATCAGGATCGGATAATTTGAATTCCCAGCCATCTCCTGTCCAGCTAATGAAATGCTGGCATGACTTATCTGTGAGAAGTTCCAATAAAAACTGCCACAGCTGGATAGGACCACTTCCTGGAAAAGACAAATAAATCTGAATGAAAACAAAAGGAGAGGGGGGAATAAAACTCAATATTAAACAAAGACTAGCATCACTAAATAAAAATTTGTCTTGTAAATTAATTTGTTATGACAATATAACTTTTTTTTAATAAAAAAACTTCTTCACATTTAAAGAAAAAAAAATGAATCTAAGTATTTGTGTCAGTCATTTTAGTAACCAAACTTCCAAATTATGATCAGCACAGAAAATAGAATTGGAAATGTTGCATGGGGAATCCGTGTTCACACTAATAATAAATCCTCTTCTCTTATCTATGGGTGGATTAGAAGAGTAGATTATAGATCCTCTGGCCTTGGTAGTTTTAAAAAATTTAAAAGCAAAATAACTTTGAATTAAGAACCAGTCTGAATATAGATTGACTCTGTAAGGCTGTCTTTGCCATAGACACACTAACAATTTCTGTTAGTGTCATGTCCCAAGAAACCTACTATAGGTTACAGGATGCATGTTTATATGCATCCTGTAACACAGTTCAGCCTGGATGAACATTTATCAAAAACAAATTGAATTTGATTAAAACTCATTATATATATATATATATATATATATATATATATAGATATATATATATATAGAGAGAGAGAGAGAAATATTTATAGAAACTAGAACATTTTAGAAAAAAAAAAAAAAATCCAAAATTATTTATGCTGATATGGAAAAACAAAAAACTTCATATAATATTTTGAATGTGTGTGCGTGTATATGTGGAGATTAGAATTTACCTGAAAAATCTCAAAGATAAAATGAAAATAATTAACAAGGTTACAAATATATAAACATATATTGTGATAATATACATAGAACTATTACATAGAAATGTATCGTGCCTGGGTTTTTTTGTTTTGTTTTACTAAAAGCCAACTCATGCCCAGAACTGGAGGCCTATATCAAATCGCGTCATTCCACTTGGAGCAAAGATTTTTTATTTTCCAATTGGCTTTATGGTAGTTTGCTGCTATAGTTGACTTAAGAAATACCAAGTAGAGCTCAAGAGCAAAATTAATTTGGCTTGGAAAGTTAATCCTCTTTTTCTTTACAAAACTCTTATTACAATATACAATTTGGCAGAGCTTCACATCCATCACTTCCCAACCCATTAAGGGTGTATGAAATGTTATATGCATTTTAATCTTTGAATTAATTATTCACATTAAAAATGCAGCAAAAACCATGTTGGAAGTATGAATTCTGGAAAAAAAAAATGACATGAAAGAAAATAAACATGAAAGTCACTTTTTATTTTATTGTTTAGAAATAAAATAACTATTGTTAAGCTGATTTATTTTGCCATAAATATACTTTTCTATAATTATTGAAGTAGAAAAAAATGGACTCTTAAAAATGTGTGGTTTAGCAGTAGGGTTTTGTACATTTCATTTAAAATATCTAAAAATATCAGATTACATTTATTGAATTAATTATGACATTAACTTTACATAAAAATGTTTTTAATAAATGATTTTCATTAATATCATGTTTCCTTCTAGTTTTTGTTTTTTTAATGGTAAACTAAAATTCAACAGACTTTTTCTTTTAAATTTCTTTTTGAAAGAAAAATTACTCATAAAAAATTGAATTTGGTCATTAATTTGTTGTTATGAATAACTATCATAGAGAAAAATATTAAATTAACTTTTACGTAACAAATACAAAAAATAGCACTTTTAAATAAATTTCTCTTGTACAAAAACAGAATTGAACAAAATGTCTTGGGAAGAAAAATCTGTTAAAAATTAAACAACAAAACATTAAAATTAATTTTCTTGGTAGCGAATTTGTAACAAGAAAAACTAGAAGAACTTGGATTAATAAAGTAATTTTTTTAAATCACGAAAGATTAAAATTTTACATTTTTCTATAGAAAGTGCAATAAAAATTCAACATACTTTTTTTATTTATCAGAAACAGAAATACAGAAAAATAAAAGTTGATTATTAGTGAATTTGTTTTTATGAATAAAAATTTCATAGAGAAGAATATTAAATTAACTTTAAGTAAAAAATGTTAAATTGACTTCCAAGTAACAAAACCAAGTTTCCTAAATTATATCTTTTTGTGAATTTTGCACAAAAAAAGTTGTTTTTTTTGCAATGAAAACATAAAATATATAAAGTCTGAAGGAAATAAAATAAATAAATCTCATGTTTACTTCAATCAAATAAGCTAAAATTGTTGTAAATGTAAAAAAAAAAAAAAAAAAAACATTTCTTAAAGCAACTATAACAGCAAACTATCACAAATCCAAACTGAAACTAAAAAAATCTCCACTGACAGTGAAGTAATGAGATTTGAGATAGGGTTTTTTACTAAAGGCTAACTGGTGGCCTATGATATTGTGATAATATGGCTTCAGACTATTATAATATACCTGAGTAACCAGCAAGTGCTGCTGCCTGAATAACAGGCTTGCCATCAGAACCAGTGTTGGGGTTGTCAGCAGATGACGTCTGCAAGCTTCGGAAGCCTGCAGGATGAAGGCTTGAGCGAAGTTCATTGTTCATAGACCAAGTCTCTTGGCCACTAATGTCCTGACCATATTCTTGTGTTGACCAGGAACATTCAGCTTTGATACTGGGTACTGTCTGGTATGGTTGATGATCATAGTAGTTGTCTGCAGATACATCATGAATGTACTGCCCTAGAAAATTAAATCATTTATATAAATAGAGATTTTTACAGGGATGATAAAAAATAAAAAAACACTAAGTACAAAACAACAATCAATATATAAAAAAATGAAAGGTTTATGACTTTTTTTTTTTTAACCCTAACTTCCAGTGTTATAAATCAATGAACTTTTGTTCAAAAGTAAGGAAAAAGAAATTAATTTGTTTTAGTTCTTGAAAAAGGTCACCCACAAATCAAAAATTCAATTTTACCATATATGCATTAAGGGTATTAAAAAAAAATAAATTTCAGAAGCTTTATTTCTTAATTTCCCAATGATGTAATTGGATAGTAATGTATATTTTTAATGCATTTAACAGTTTATAGCTATAGCATAACATACAAATTTACAAATAAACAAAAACAAATTCTAGAAGGCTCCAGAAAGGCATAGTACTACTATACTTAGATATTTTATAAATTTTGTGACATTTTTAAAAAAAAAAATCTATAGTTGGCCACTTGTGTTCAAGGATACCCATTTACTAGGGCGGCTAGCCAATTCATATTGTATTGCTTGCTCAGGCACATCTGTGTTTGAACAAATGCCCACACAGCCCACCTGTGGTTTATACTGCAACTATGCTGAGCAGACCTTAGTTACAGCCAGCATGGTCAAACCCTCAGTCAGCTATTGAGGGCACAAGGATTGAGTCAACTTGTGGTATGGTTTTCAGGTACTTTCCGAAGGTGCAGCATGTTTGGATCACCCCCTACAGACCAATAACATCAGGGAGTTTCCTTCCTGACAAATCAACAGTGGTAAGATTTGAACCTACGTCTCATGGTCAGAAAGTGAACTGAATTAAATCCTTCTTCGTTATTTTTTTTTTAACAAAAGTTCTTAGAATTCTGATACAGGAAATCAATTATTTTACAAAAAGTCATAACCTACATGTTCATTATATATATATATATATATATATATATATATATATATTACATATACACATGAAAAGGAATATGAGAATATATAAAATAATTTTATATAAAACAGTAACAGTGCAATTAAAAATTATATCTTAGTCTCATAATAACTGTTATATAATTTATATAAATGTTATTTTTAGTGAGTACATGCATTTGTGTTGCTTTCTCCGTTTTAGTGTCATTAAAAATAACATTTATCCTAATAAGAAATAATGTTGGATAAAAAAATCCATTTAAATAAGAAAAATTTATTTTGCTAAAAAATGCAAGCAACTGGAGAATTCACTGAAGTTTGGACATAAAAAGGTATCCATGAAACTAGGAATTCAGATAATTGAGTTATATATAACAATTTGTCGATGTTTTGTCAATTATCTGGCATCATCAGAAAAGAAATCTCTTTTCCCATAATAGTTGATAAAGACAGTTTTTCTATAATTAGATATTTAACTTAATTGAGAAAAGGCATTTTTTCTATCTTCTCTTAAAATATTCTTTAATGAATTTTAATTTAATGTCTCTTCAGCAATTAAAAAGAGAAGGTAAATTCAAAAGACAAAACTGACTTTGCTTGACTAAAATCTATGAGAAACATTAAAGATATTTCCTGTTAGTGATCTTAATAAAGAAAAACTGTTTTTTTGTGATAAAAAGAGAAAAACAAATATTTTGCAAGATCCCATTCAATGTTTGTGTAGCATGAAATAAGAACATTTAGAAATAAAAACCTTTTTTGTAACACCAATCTGCTAACAAGTCTTGGACTTAACAAATGGAATCAGCAACAAAGCTCAACACTCAGTAATATTGGCAAAATGAGAAAAAGAGAGAGAGAGAGAGAAAAAAAAAGGAGGTAATACCGAGAAGAAAAATTATTTTTGTTAATTCAAATGAAACTCTTTTCTAAATGTCATGAAACATTGATAGAAATCAAAACAAAAGACTTTGCTTATATGAAACACAATTCTACAGCTGAACTCATAATTCAAATGTTTACAACAAAAATTTCATAGCTAAGCATACAAACTGACATATGATTAATTTGATGTGTAACAAAAACAGCTGCCATTGTCTTAATCCAACTAACCATTATCATTACTGATTTGTAAAGAGAGGGTTACCAACATCCAAAGACAATTATCATTACTGATTTGTAAAGAGAGGATTACCAAAGACCATTATTGATTTGTAAGGAGAGGATTACCAACATTCAAAACAATTACTGATTTCTAAAAGTACAAACATCGAAAAACCATTATCATTATTGATTTGTAAAGAGATCATTCAAAGACCATTATCATTCAGTCAGTCAGTCAGTCAGTTATGTGCCATGCATGATACATGCTTAGGCAATCATGTACCTTTCAATACATGACTGAGGAGGCAGATTTTTTCCCACAGAAGGTTACCATTTCTTTCTGTGTTAGACCAGTTGCAATCCAAGGCTAGAGAACCCGGTCTGTCCTGCTATTTACCAATAGCTTGGGGGGGGGGGGATTCATACCTTTCCCAAGAGTATTATTATTACTGATTTGTAAAGAGAGGGTTACTAACATCCAAAAACCATTATCCTAAACTATAGAACAGAAGAAGATTCATGTAAAAAAGTTAAGTAAACAAATAGAAAGTAAATGAAAGTGAAAATGTGTACACAGTCTACCTACCTCGACACATATTCTTGGTTGGAATCGGCCGGTATTTGTGCTCTTGCATAATCGGATAGAATTCAGGATGATCGTAATAGGTAGCATGTTGTTGCTGCATGTTCTCTAAATTGTGATAATCAGAATTATCTTCGTAAAGATTGCCCACAGGTAGCATGCCTTCCCCGTTCATTTCATTTAGAGTCTGCATAGACTCAGATATTTGGTAGGAACCTGCATAAAAACCAGCAGGAATTATTGTTGGAGTTAAAGGCTTACACAAGAAACATTTATGGGAAAGTTGTACAAAAGATTTGTTTTGGCGAAACTAGGCAAAGATTCACAAATATTGAAACATACTGAACAAGAAATTCACTACAAAAAAAAAAAAAAAAAAAAATCTTTCAGATATAAGAGAATTTAATTTTAAACTAAAAAACAATTACCAAATTAGTTTTAAAAAAAATGAAAGTAATACTATAGTTGGTAAAGTTTAAACAAAGAATATAATTTTTTTGTTTTACTGCTGTTTTAAGATTCCAGTAAAAGTCATCTTGGACATGACTAATGTACCAGTGGGATGTAAAGAGAAGAAAGAGAGACTGCAGAAGTGGAATGTACTCCAATTAGATGTGAAGGTTTTCAAAGAGTACAAAAGTTATTTTTGGATTAAATGAAAAAGAGAAAGAGACTAGATCATTATTTGCCAAAAAAATGACAAAGCTAGATTTTAGCTAAAAAAATATTTTTTAAATTCTCATTTTCTGAAGTTAACTTTGTTTTCTTTTTATAGAGAACAAGAAAAAACAAAAACTTTACTTGCACTTTCTGTTTTCTTGGAAATATCATAAATGAGAATATTTAAGTGATATAACTATTTACTAGTCTGGTATGAGGCCAATAGTTATTGGCACTCAGTAAAGCAGGATTGAATTCAGAGTCTGAGAAATGAGTATGCAGTCTGGTATGAAAGGCATCTTGAACTTTCTGATGATATAAGGCTAATAAGAATATTTTGTAATTTTCTAACAGAAATCTTTCTACACAGGGTACAATTTTGATCCATTTGTTTTTCCATATGATGAAGATGTGCACATGACCAAATGGTTAGAGTGTTAGTGTTCTAACCATGAGACCTGCCGCTTTCAATCTCATCATCGATGGCTAGGCAAGAACTTTGAAGAGTTTAAACAAAATTTTGATCACAAATACAATAAGAAAAATTAAACAGACTGACTCTGTTGGTTGAATTTAACAAAACTTCTGAAATTTTATAAAGTGTGTGTATATGGACACATGGCTGAATGGTTAGAATATTAGTTATTTCTGACCATGAAACCTGGGTTCAAATCACACTATGGTCATCTTGTCAAGGAATTGACTTCTTGATAATATGGAGATATGATTGAAAATGTGTGGCATTGTTGGGAAGTGCCTGAAAACCCGTACTATAGGCTGACCCAAGCCTTGTGAGTGGCATTGGATAGATGAAACTGTAAGCTGTCAATGGTTGTGCTAGCATAGTTACAAATCTTCATTTAATGGGTAAATAGAGGTTCTTTAGCTTTGGGTGGCAATCTAGGGATGGTACTGGCTATTCAAAAGAATTGGCCTAAAAAAACTAACAATGATTGAAATTCATAATAAAAACAGAAAGTCATGAGAATTCATAATCTACTGCAGACAGAAATAGTGTAACATTGCGTTAACGATGAGGTGAATATTATTTTCGATTATATGGAGCATGTTTTATACAGACATGCATGTATATAAATGCAGAAAATTTTATAACTTTTATAAATAAAAACAAAAATATGTGTAAAAGAAAAGTTGCAAAAAAAAGTGAAAAATTATAATATATATATATATATATATATATATATATTCAGAATTTGTTTTTAGTTCAAGAAAAAAATCAAGTACAAACAAACCTTCTGGTAAATAAGCCTGATTGTTGTTGTTATTGGTGGATGCCATATGCATCTGGTGAGGAATTGAGGGTTCAGTATGATAACCTGAAAAATACACAAATCAAAAAAGATGAATTTTTTTTTTTCAATTCTAGACTGAAATTGTCTCAATTTTGTGCATGATTTTTTTTGTCCAATGTTTAAATCAAAAACAATGGCAATAGGCTTCTCCAAATAAAAAGAAAGTTTTTAACCTGACTTCTTCAACATTCTTGTTTGTACTTAAAGCCCATGACTGCAGAAAGCATAGTCCACCAGCAAAGCTAAGCAGTTCCAATTTGAAGGGAATAGTAAGATTTAATTTGAACATCTTACCAAAATAAAAAAAAAATATTTTCTTCTTTTTTGGTTTTATTTTACAGACAGGATTTAATTCCAAATCAGGGTATTGTTGACCAAATTGATGATACAAAAACAACTTAAATGAACAAACATGAAACAATCTGTCCATTTAGCTTGCTTCATGCTACAAAATACCGGTGACAGTCAACCACCACTGGAGATTCTTTTAAATATTTATTGCTTTTATGGTATTGACATCATCAATTGAAATCATTGCTTTTCAAAAAAATAATCCTAAAAATTAATTTTTATTCCATATCTTTTGAACTATCACATAACCTTTTTCGATAATATTTCTTATTACAACATTATATATTTTTTAATCATTTTGTCCCAAGTAAGGCAATAGAACCACTAAGATGCAAGGGGTTACTGAATATTAGAGAATATGAGAAAAAAAAATTATTAAGGAGAGAGAACAATAAAAGAACAGGAATTAAGACAGAAAATAATGATTGACATTGTATTTAAATTTTTAAAGATCAAACTTCACTAGAAAGCAAGAAGCCAGACAAGAGTTCCACAAACAAGAAATGCAAGAGAAGAAAGTGTTTGCATAAAACTTAGTTACATCCAGTGATTTCAACTGTAAAATGATGAGACCTTGCTGCCAATCTAGTACTGTGTTTAAATTTATAAAGTCTAGGTACCATAGAGGAGAGTTCATCAGAACAATTATCATGAAAGTATTTATAGAAAAAAAAGGCACAAGGAAGCTAGTGAGAAACTGATGCCAGGTCAGGACAAATAATATTGCAGATTCTTCTTTGGATTTTATCAAGAATCTAAATACATAGCAGAAGCACCAGACCAGATGTGGCAGCAATGTTCTAAGCATGGACGAATGGCAGACTTATAAAAATGTAACACAAATTCAGACAAGAAAAATTGCCTTGGATGAGACAGAGAACCAACATTCCTAGCAACTGATTCAATATAATTTTTCCACTTTATGTCAGTGGTAAATGTTAATCCAAGAAAGTGCATGGAGTCACTCTCCTACCGGTTAGCATCAGCCATGCTGTTGAAAGGCAAAAAGAGTTCTCTGAGATGATTAAAAGTGAGAAGTTTCATTTTGTAGGTGTTAAAATTAACAAGCCATTCTTTGCCCCAATTGACTACAGATTGAAGGTAATTTTAAGATCAGCTGCCAATTCAACCTTATCGAACCGGGCAGACTTACTATTAAGACAGAAGTTAGAAGTAAATAGTTGTGTTATCGGCCATAGAGCTCGAGTTGAGAGCGGATATTTAGTGGATACATATATTTGAATAGACATCCCCCACTTTTTAAAACTGAGCATTCAAAAGTTTTAATAAAGAGAATGTGACTGTGCCCACCCCCTACCCAAATACAAGAACACATGAAATATGTTTATAGTAATAAGAAATAATGGTGGATTATAAATAAAATCCATTAATTCCTCAGGAATCTTTCTTATATAATCTTTGACAATTACAAAATGGAAGAAAAGTGCAACCAAGTCAAAATTAATTTGAAATGATTCTTCAAAGTTGCTGAATGAAATGAAAGAAATTGATTTCCTGTCCAGGCTGAAGTAAAACAAATGTTACGAAATGTGGAATTAGGGGTGGAGTGTGAGGGTCAAGCTAAAATTGTCATTAGAAATGAATTGAGAAGAAAGATGGTCAAATTTCTAATGCTGTCATCAGGTTTGTTATTTATTCAATTATAAAATGAATATTTTTTATAAAGAGAAAAGATTGATAATAATTTTAATAAATTAGCAGTGATGGCTGTTGTCACCAGTAACAGCCTATTATTGTTGGTGTTGTTGTTCCTTTACCTTCAATCCTTGTTGATTTGTTACTTCTAAGTGGTTTAATTATTATCAATCACACATCAGTCATACAATATCTAAACTAGCTAAATTTGTTTAGGGACAAGCAGTATACATTTTTTTTTTAAAGAATTATGATCATATTGATTTTATAGCATTATTAAAAAAAACGAAAATGGAATCTTCTACGTTTAAGAAAAAATTATGGAATATCTTAAAAAAAAAAAAAAAAAAAAAAAAAAAAAAATAATTTCCTTTATCTAAGGAAGAGTGGATACATAGGGGAGATAACTCACTATTCTGCTGTTGGAGATAGTTCTCGCTGATATCTGGCATGCACACAGGCTCACTGAAGTTTGGAGGCACATTGCAGAGAGAAGCTCTTTCTTGGGCAGCCTCTGAAATAGGAACAAAATGTTCTACCTTCAAGCAGAGAAGTATAGGAACAACAGATTGGAAGTAAAGTGCAATTTCAAGGGGGCTAAAAAGAGCAGGAAAAAAGATGTTTGCAAGGAGGCTGTTATTACGATTCATCGATAAGTTGTAGAAATGAAGGGATTGTGATGTTTAATAAAACAAGCAACAAACCATCTTAAGACCCAATAAAAAGGTCTTAACCTATTGTGGACAAAGATAATTCTGAAGAACATATAAAAAAGAAAAGCATACAATTAAAAATAAACTCCTCACTGCTGAACAACATCTTTTATCTTAATGGAAGTTCAAGCCTTTTATTATTTATCATTTTTTGCGTTATAATTTTGGTAGTAACATTTGTAATTGTTTATCCTTAGTATAGGCATTTTACATATATTTTATTCTTTTTCAAAACATAAGTTATCCTAATTATGTGCATGTGGCAGAGGATGACTTATTTTAAAGAAAAGTAAATAAAATAAAATAACGATCTATCATATACTCTTTAAGTATAAGATGCAAAATTGCACGGGGGGGGGGGGAATTGATCTGCTGAGGGGGTTAAGGGAGATAATTTATAAACTTGACCTAGTAAGGGTATAATGCTATTTGAAAGAAGTGAATATTTTTAAAATGTTCAAATTACATGTAGGAATGTTAAAAAAACAGTAGTCAGTAATTCTAAATATATTGCTAATTTATAATTTACATTCATCTCTAATGAAATACAAATAAGCTGAAGTGAAAAATGTGACATTTATGAATCTATTTATGACATCTATCATCAAAACTGAATCCACAGAAAATAAAAAAGTCATAACAATTGAGCAGAAGCATGAAATGTTTGTCAATTCTTTTTAAAACAGAAAAAAAATCTCTGGGATGCAGAGTTATCATTATTTATATGCTGACTATTGTCCGCATCTTTGTTGGTTGTAATAACAACAACAAAGATGAGGACAATAGTTCACATGTGAATAGTAGAAGGAAAATAGTCAATGGATGTAAAAGTTACTAACTAGGCAAGCTGAATTAGCTTTATACTCTTGTTAAGATCAAATTCAATAAACATTTGAAAATCAGAAAAAAGTGCAAAATGTATAATTTTGAAAAACAGTTCTCTTCATTTAACATGAAAATATTTAACCATAAAACAAATATTACCTATTCTGATAGGACAATGAAACATGTTTCTATAAAAATGAAAAATACTTTTTATATTCTTTTAGTTTTGTTATCAAAATAACTATTTTTGACTACTCTTGAAAGTAAACTTTTTTGACAAAAACAAGAAAAAGAAAGGTATAAGAATAAGTAAGTACAGACTAAATAAACTCCACAAATATTTAATGTTGAACATTTTTATACAATAATAACTGCTTCGAATATTTAAATGTCTTTACGGCTATAATTTTAAAGGCAGAAGTAGGATAATAAAATTGGGAGATTTATTTATATTTAAGTTTCGTTGGTTGGGGGAAGGGATGAAGGGAATGCATCAGAATGGAAAGTAAGTAGTTCATTCATCTCTACCATTGCTGCTGGAAAAGAAATGTGGGGTCTGCTAAAGCTATTAGCAGCAGCAGCAACAACTAAAGGGTCAAATAGGTGCAGCTTTTATTTACTAGCAAAATGAAAGAGATAAGAAAGGTTAAAAAATCAATTTGAAAACAGCAAATTTCACTAAAATTCGTTTTAAAGCATTAAATTAATAATAAAATGTTTAAGGTATTTTGCTCAAATTTGATAAGGTGTAAAGATTAATAAACAGCAATTCTAACCATATTTTAATAATTTTATACAAGTGGGGTGGGTAAGGGGGTGGAAAGTAAAAATGAATTGTTGATACAAACAAATTATTTGACCTTCTTTCAAACTTTTCACTTTTTGAGTGATTCTTTTGTTTTAATTTTGTAATTTTTTTTTTTTTATGGGCAAAATTTGAATTTTTTGGGGGAGAAGTATGGAATTATGAGGCCAAGGCAATGATAAGAAAGTGTCAGGACAACAGTTTGTGGAACTGAGTTCATTGTGACAGCACTGGACTGTGTTTATATAAACAAGTCATCAATCAAATTGGCATGTATGATGGTCAGGTCAACAGGTACATAATAGGTAGGAGTATTTCAGTACACTTGGAGTAGCCTGTTTGAATTTGGAAGGAGGTGGGGAGAGAGAGACTCTGACTGACCCAAACTTTATCAGCAAATAAACTAACAAAACAATAAGACAATGGGAAAGTCAAATGAGTCTATCTGATGTGAAACAAAAATGCTTAGAAACTGGGGTCTGGAATAGGAGCTCCACCGCTTATTTTTGACATTATTAGAAACAAAATTTTACTCTACAGTTTCAAGTAAATTACAAAACAAGTAGATGAGAATTATATATTATTGAAATAATATGCATAAATTTTTTAAATATGAAATTATTTTAGGCAGGAAAATTAGCCAAAGTCTGTTTCAAACATTTATTTATTTTTTTTTATCAATCAGCAGAAAAAATAACTTTCTTTTTCTTACTTGTATATTTATTTTATTATTTTGAGACTGCATAAAAGCTAATGCCAGTTTTCTATAATAGATTTTTAATTATTTTATTTTCATGGTGAATCCAATATTAAATGAATCATTTTTTTAAATGAATAATTCTACATGTAAAATGAAACTTAGATTTTTAAATTACTTTATTTTCACAGAAAAATCCCAGATTTTATCTTTCAGTTTTTTTGTTTTTTTTAATGAACAATCAATGCAACTTAAACCATGTAAATGCTTAGGTAAAATTTAAAAATCCTAAAAGTTTGCATTCATATTAAGGTTATGGTTTCTCTTTTTATCTGTGCTTATGTTGGCCAATATAATAAATAACCATATTATTTTTTTTGGTTAAATAAGAATGAAAATTAAGACAGCTATTTGGCAACTGATCAATATGGATGACATTTAAAGTAAATATTAATATATTTTTATGCTTATAGAATTCAATCAAGTAGCATGCACATAAAATCACACAATGCCTATATAAACAGTAAGTAATGATCTGAAGACTAAGAATTAGTAATCTTTCTTTACCCCTCTTCATGACTTCCAGGTGTTCCCAAAGAACATCACCAACATAAGGTGGGGCTCTTTCTAGAAAGGCTTCCTTTCCCAACTGGCACATTTCTTTGCCACTCATGTTGAAACGGTCTGTCCGGATACCAATCAGGGCATATTCGTGCATCACCCAATCAAGCCATTGGATAACATGAAGTTTATTCCACTGGGCAGGATCTGAAAGGAAGAGGAAAAAAAAAAATTCTTTTTCTAAGTTTTCCTATTTACAGATTAAATAAATATTAAAATATTTGACACTCAGTATTCTTGAAACGGACCTTGATTCTTTGCTGACAAAGTTTGGAATAAAACCAGTTCTAGCAAACATTTAAATAAAACAAAAGCAGCAACTATTTAGGTACTGGCGTGAAATCACTGGAAAATGAGTATAGCATGAAAATGACGGCCTTAAACTTGATGAAAACAAAATTTTATTGTCAAAATATTTATGTTACTATTAAGTAAAAAGTAATTTTTAATAAATGTACATTAAATTATATTTTATGTATACTTAAGCTTTCATAAGATAGGTACCTAATTAATTTTATGTACCTTTCTTATGAAAGGTTATCTCATTCTCAACAGTCTTAGTTTAAAGATTTTCCTTAAAAATAAAGTAAATAAGTTGGTTTAATAAAAAGCTAAATTATGTCACTTCTGTCCTTCCATACGATAACTTTTTCTTGCCTAAGCTGTCAATATATGGTGAAAGCATCAATCATGACAGTCACACATCGCCACTGTTAAGACCTGCTGTCTCTTGTTTTAAACTACATTTTTTTGACATAAAATAAGAAATGTTCATTTTAAAATATATTAAATAAACTTTAAAATAAATTTTTAAAAAAGTATAATTGATTTTTGACAGAATTTTAAACAGAAAAATTAACTTTTGTTTACAAAATTGAAAAAAAAAAAAAGGCTGATGATTAATTTGAATTTAGGTAAAAATGGTAACGGAAAAAAATGGCAGGGTAAAAATGTCAACGGTAAAAATGACAAGTGGATAAATAGGTAAAAATGGCAAAAATGGATAAATAAGAAAATTTAAAAAAAAATGTTTTTAATACTAGGAGTGGGAACTTAGCCCCTATTTAAAACAAGAGGAGAAGGAGCCTAGCTCCCCACCACTAGAGTAAATATCTATTTAAAAATAGGGGGGGAGACACAGCCCTATTTTAAACTAGAGGGATGGGAGCTTAGACCCATCCTTCTTGAACGGCCATAATTTTCTGTTGTCAAATTGCCATTTTTTTCCTATTTATCCACTTTTGCCATTTTTACTGAGCACCGATTATTTTAAGCGACAATTTTGTATGTGCTAGGAATGATTAAAAAAATGTAAAAAAAAATGTAAATCAAAAAATACTTTGATCTTTCCTCTTTATAATAAACATTTAGACAATAAAAAATTATTAATTTCATCAAGTTTAAGGCCGTTTTTATTATACTATGCTCATTTTTCCAGCAATCTCATGCCAGTACCTATATAATATTTAGCAACTTTTATTTTTATTTCTTAATTAAGAAATTACACTAATCATTTCCTGAAATAAGAATTGAATGGAGAACAAAAAGGCATTTATTTGAGACAAGCTGTAAATCTTTTCATTCACAGACTTGGATCAAATAGCAATAACACATAACCCAATTCTGTCAGGAATTCTTGCCTTGATTTCTCACTACTGACAATCCTTTTTCTTTGTATAACTGTTGAAACTTTCTGAAACAAATTTTGAACTAAAAATGATAAAATTAATTACTTTATTTTTTTTCCTACTATAATATTTTGTTAGTGAAGAAAATAAAACAATTCTGCAAAGTGATGGACTTTTAAGTCAGAAAGTAGCAATAAGAAAATAAATAAATGATTGTCTATACAAATGCTCCACCCACACTTGTGCCAAAATTTGCTGTATCACTGTGTAATTATTAAAATGAAAGAAAAAAAAGTATTTGTTTATTAAATCCTACAAGTGATATCATAGTTTATATAAAGCGTTTAATTTTATTATTTTAGCCATCATGAACACACTATAATAATTATTTCCCTACTGATATTGTCATTATTTAAGTTTTTATTTAATTAAAGCATTTTATAGACACCAACCTTACATTGAGCTAATACAAAAAAAAAGTTAAATTTACAGTTATTATAAATGAAATTCATAAATGATGTTTTTCTTTCCTTTCTGCATAAAAGCCAATAAACTATGTGAAAAGGGTTGAGTGAGTGAGAGAAATAGCATTACTTCTCGAAATGTACAGATCATTAGAACAAATTTGAAACTGACATGTTCTAGAGTAAATGGAGGTCATGGATTGTTAGAAACTTGAAATCAACATTGAAATTTTATGCCAAAAGTAGAGGCACAATTTTGGTGGCCATTTAAACAAATCAATCAATTGAAAAATTAATTTTTCTCTCATACAACACTTATTGATAAAAATTTTAATTGATATTTAGGTAATATAAAAATGATAATTCATATCTACAAATAGATATAATTACTATAATACATTTGAAAATATTATTTTTTTTAAATGTTCAACTTTTTGTATATGCATGTATAATCCTTGATTTATAAGTAGTAAAAAAAGAAAAAAAAAAGAAACAAAACAAACTAAAAGACAGTATTAAAATAATTTTTTAAACATGAAAAATCTTTCTTGAAACTTTTATTTTAGTTTTAATAGATTGAATTTAATATTTCCAATAAGAAAAATACTTTGCTATATTTCTAAACAAATTTAAATTGACTGGAAGGCGTAATCATTTTGAAATTGCTGATTTTCATCAATGTAATTCTGTATTTAAAAAAAATATTTAAAAAATAAAATATACTTTTCTGAAACTTTATTTGATTTAACTGATTTAAAGTTGAATTAATCTGATTTGTAACAAATATTACTTACTTTTAATTTAAAATATCACAAATGCATTTTTAACATAGCAGTAGGTGTTTATTTTAGGTGTTGAATGATAGATGAAAGTTTAATTTTTTTTTCTATTTTAGACATATCTGTAAAATTTACTTGAGGAATATAATGTGAGCATCTATTTTATATAATTTTTAACTATGCAGTAATCTTAAAAATTTAGGAAAATATTTTCCATAATCTAATGTTTAATTAATTTTAGATATTTTGGCTTTAAATTCACTCTTATTTTCTGATAATGTTGTATATGGATATCTGTATTTACAAATATTAGCTCATTTATACACATAAAAAATTTCAAAATTCCTTTTAAAATATTGGTGGTCAAAGCTTTTCCATTTATGATTAGTAAATATAGTTTTTACTTAATAATGATATCACCTAACTGGGATGGAGAAAGTAATACAGAAATTTAAAAGATTTAGAACTGTATAAGTTATTATAATTAAAATTAAAAAAAGGAAAGGAAAAAGAAGAAAGAAAACAATTCTTGTAAAAATTCATTATTCATTGAAACAAACTTTTTTTTTTTTAAGACAATCGTGTCCATAGCATATATTATTCATAAATGTGTTTTAAAAGCTTTTCTAATTAAATGTCTTAGTTTTATTGCCTTTCTTGATTTAGAGCAGATTTTAGATAATTAGTGGTCCTGTTTTACAAAAAGAAATTGATGATTTAAATTCTTGAAGAAAGCATCAAGCAACACAAAAATTACTTTCTCAAAATTTCATAAAATTAAATAAGTGAGGGAGTAACAAAACATTTCTAAAATAATTTCTTTCATTTGTGAGCAAGTCCTGAAAGTTTCATTAAAATTTGCTAATTAATTGATTTTTGCAAGAATTTCCAAATTAATGCATTTTTCACAACAAAAAAGACATACAATTTTCTATACTAATCTGTGTTATATAATAATAATAAAAATTTAGCTAAAATTTTGTATGTTCTAAAGGATATATAAAAAAAAAAAAAAAAAAAAATTAATAAATCAAAAAATCTTTTGCCTTTCATCTTAATAATAACAAAGATTCTGATGATAAAATTTTTATTAAGTTTGAGGCATGTTTTCTTCATTGTATGCTAATTTTTTAGCAAATCAGGAGGTACCTACTGAAATCCAGGTTTTAAAAAATATACTTTTGCCTTAGTTTAAAAGGGATATGACTGGACCAATTATGTCACTTCTATGAAATTGAGACAATGTTTATGGTTAGAAATTGATATTAGTATTTAAAACATGATTAGTGACCATTACATTTTAAAATTTGAATTATGCTAATTACAAAAAGTAGATGGAAAAAAACAACAAAAAAAAACAAAACAAAAAACAAGCAATGAATATGTATTTATCACCAATTTAGCAAACACAATCTTTTAAAAATTGTACATTTTGTAAAATAACATGTCTGATGAAGCTAAACAATCTGTCCAGTTAGAATGGAGTAAAAAGAAAGACCTTTTATCTCACACCTGCCACTTACTGGAAATTAATTTTATCAGCTGCTCCTATTCAAAGACCCAACCCAGTACCAGAAACAATTTCTTTTTCTTAAATCTGTTTACAACAAAGTCAGTCAAATGTTGATGAAATATTACATATTTTAATTACATATAGTAATTATAATAAATCAAGCATTTTTAGCATTCCATAAAGAAAAAAAAGAAAGATTGTTTTGTTTTTTTTAAAATTATGATTGCAATAAAATCCACTAATTTCATATTCGATTATCCTTTCTTACAGATCCTGGCAGCTATGAGGGAGATGTGATTATACTTAAATGTTTAAAAAAAAAAAATTATTCAGTTTTATTATTGTTTAGGAAATAAACATTACAACATAGCACAAATAGCTATATTGTAGAAAAAGGAATGTTTTACAATATACATTTTCTTTATCTTTTTTACGTATTTATGATTATTTTTTTAACTTTTATCAAAAATGACATTCTTGTACATGTAGTTATGGATAATGTTATGCATTAATTACTAATTTTTTTTTAATTATCAACTATTTGTGCTCAGTTGTTGACACTAATAGCTAACTGCTGATGTATTAAAATTTTGGAATAATGCAATAATAAAAATTTAAATTTCATCTCTCTGATAGATGTCACAATCTTAAAATATTTATTTACAGTCTGAGGTACATTTTGTTTATATTTCTTGCTTTCCTGCCTGTAAGCAGAAGTGATCATATCTGTTGTATATAAACAAATAGTACTTGGGAAAATTTAGATGGTTTTGCTATGTGGATGAATACTAATTCTTAAGCTAATAATTAAATAAACCCATTGCAAGTTCAATGACTACAAAATACCTGTAGGAATTCTATTTCATTGTTAAGTATTTAAGCTTATCAACTTTATATTACAATAACGATAATAAGTATGAATGCAAGTTGTTATTTAAAGAAGTAAGAGGGTACAAATAAAGATTTCAAATTGACAAAGTTTTCCATTTTACTGAAGCAGATATTAAACACATGAAAGCTTTCTCCATCTTCTCTCTCTCTCTCTCTTTTTAATAAAACCAAACAGTTTCTCTAATTTGTCTATAGTCCATTATTTATGAGATATTGGCAGGACATAATGTACATGCCAATTGAGGAACAAACAGAATTATAATATATTACTTTATACATAAAACAAAAAAGCTGTCATTATAGTTACAGCTCCATTGGGGAATAAAATAAAGAAATTATACATGCAATTATCAACTTAAAACTGCTAGTTTATATTTACTTCTTGTAATATCTACAGTAATAAGTGCATTAAATTCAACCATTTTTTTTTTTTTTTAAATATTGCAAATCTTCTGTTAAGATGTTTTTGAAAAAATCATTTTACCCTAAGGAAGGTGATAAACCACTAAGACAAGGGATTAGTGGGAGTGAAAGAGAATGAGAAGACTCTGGTGAGGAGAAAGAACAATAAAAACAAAATTCAGAAATACAAAAGATGGTGATTGATGAACATTGTAGGTGGTGGGGGAAGCAAGAAACTGGAAGAAAGTTTCACAGGTAAGAAACTATTAGAATAGAACTTATGATTACATATAGTTTCTTCAATAGTAAAACAGTGAGACTGATTTGCCAATCTAGTAGTATGCTTAAATTCATGCAGTCGAGGCAGCAAAAATGAGAAGAATTGCCAGAATACATTTGTAATTATTTCTAATAATACCAAGAGGGATTTGTCCAAAAGTCAAATATTTCTCTCTCTCTAAATCTGTAAAGACAAATTTAATAAAATAGACAATACTTTGACTTTACTGACATGGAAAACAAAAACAAACTCTTAGTCAAAAAAAAGTTACTAATATCAAAAAAGAGGCTTACACGGGAGTGTCTCTTAAAATTTTTTGAATTTCATGTAACTACATAACATTTTGCTTTTGTTTATCATCACTTGCCTTGATAAAGTCAAATGATGAAATGAGTCAGCAAGGACTAAGTACTATTTTCTGATTGTCTATTTTATTCACACATACACAGAGAGAGAAATTTGAAAACTTAAAACACTCACAAAAATAAAACTCATGTAAATTGAGTTTTCACTAGAATACAAAATAAAATTATCAGTTAAATAATGTAACAACATAATTCCTTTTGTAAAATATTCTTTAAATTAGATTCTATATTTTCAAGTTAAAAAAACAAGTTTTTAACATAGCAATGTGGTATTTAGGGTTGATTTCTATCTACACTCAAAATTAAAAAAAAAAAAATTATATAAACACACACACACACACACACATTAATATAAGTTATTTGAGTTGAAAAATATAAAAATTCTAATGTTTAACAATATTCATACAAAATCAAATGTAATATGACTGTATTTTACACATTCCTATTTTCTGATCGATAGATATTTAAAAATCAATAACATACCTCGTGGGATGTTAAGCCTTTGTTGTTCTTTTTCAAAACTCTTGAAACTGGCAAAGAGAGCCTGGGACACTTTCTGTGTGGTGCCTGGTGTAAGTGGGAGGATGTGATTCCCAGAGTAATCTATAAACAAAAACAAAATGAACATTTCAGACATCTTATTTTTTCTTTTGAATTTATCAAAATAAAAATCAAGTGTAATTCTGGCAAGTGACTTTCAGAAAAGACTTTTTGAAAGTTCCAGAGAAATTAAAACATGAAAATCCAACAATTATTTAAATAATTCTGGTTCTGTTAACAGTTTTCATTTACACTGCTTCCAAAGTATCTTCAATGGGAAAGATTGCCAAAGATGATATGGAATTACATCAATGATAAGAAACTGTAAATAACTGAAGCAGACAATACCTACTTCTCAACTGGCTGAGCAATTGTATGTCAAAATGATAGAGAAAGCTTCATACAACAGATGGAATTCACTTGCCTGAAATTAAGGATCAGTGTGTATAAATTGACTTGATTATGAGAAAAAATTTCACTATTTCTTGCCAATAAGATTGTAAATGGGGATAATTTCATGTGTCTAGCTTCACATCAAGAAAAACTGAATGTTAGATGATCAATTTGACAAAAGGAAATGATCCAGGCATGTTGTATGGATTTTGTTGAAATGTGATCATTTTGATCTTGGCCAATAACTTAATGAGATGGTTTGAATAAATATTCAAAACTTAGTTGCTAATCACCTTTCTTCATCAAATTAGTCTTTGCAAACCAAAAGTCAAATATGCTTCTGTAAAGTGGAGATCAGTGATTATAGCGGGATTCACATTTAAGTAGAGAGAGATTAAAATTAAGTGTCCAGATGTTTTTGTGTGTGAGAGAGGAAGCAGTACAGGTCAAATGTCAACCAAGTCTGTTATATTCACTTCACACTAATACCCTTGGGACTTTTGCCAAAGACATTAACATGAATCTATCTCTTCTTCTCCCAGCTACAAGTTGAGCCATGGCTGGTAACCAGTCTAAAGGAAAAATGGCTCTAAATTCAAAATCATAAAGACAATGGGGAAACCATTCCACTAACTTTCCCAAGTCAAGGCAATTCACTAATATTAATAAAAGAAAACTGTAGAGATCCATGATCATTTTATGCCTTGAAGTGGCATGTTATCTCAATAAATTGACCTTGTAATTTTAACTATAAATGTTCAGTGTTAAATTTCAAGGGGTCAATAAGTAGAGAGGTGAGACTGGTTAGTTTCATTCATAAAATGTTAAATCTTTTTCTTATGGTTTTAAACAATCAGGTTTCATTTTGAAACAAAACTTATATATATATATATATATATATATATATATGTGTGTGTGTGTGTATATATATATATATATATATATATAATTTCTCTTGGTATCAGTTTTTATTTCTCTGAATATACATAAAATATTACATTTTGATTGTAGCCAAAGGGCCAAAAAGTGATAAAATAATATATAAAAACAAGATTAGCCTAAGTTGATTCTAATTACTAAGCAAATTTCCATTACAGTCTAGTTATGAATCAAAATTCCACACAGGCATAAAATTTATATTTCTTCCATTAATAAAACCAGAGTAATTATGAAAATTACAGTGCAATTGCCTATGAGAAAAAAATGTCACCAGAATAGCCTTTTATAGATAATAATAAACTCTTGTTTAGAATATCTGAGAGCAGATATTACCTGTGGTAAATATTTTGAGTTCCAATTTGATTCCATTGCAAAGTAGTTAAGTTTTTATTTGTCTCTGCATAGCCAAATCCTTTCATGTAGTTTTCATATTTGTTATGCATCGATAGATTTGCCAGATTAGAAAATCAGAAATACAGAACAGTCTTAAAATCTCTCTCTTTACACACACAAAGATTTATACATGCCTACACACCCAGACCAATATATTATATAAAAGGAGAGATATAAGTTAAAAACATTAAGCAATGATTTTAATGGGTTATGAGAAAAATAAAAGTAAAATCATTTGAAAATTATTTAATACAAGCTAAGAAAAAGAAATTATGTAAAAGTGAAATCATTTGAAAATATTTATTTAATAATAGGCAACATGTCAGTTTCGTGTAAACTTTTAGTAACACTTGTTTCCTCGTTACATTTGGGTTATTTTCATCAAAAGAATCTGAGAAAAGAAAGTATAATTACTTATAAAGTTACAATCAACAATCATTTGAGGTGTCCCTGAAAGGTCATTATGAGACATGGGACAAAATTATCCAATATAGAACATTTCCAGTATATAGGGGATGTCTGGCAACCTACTGGACTCAAGAGAAGGTTTAAAATTTTTGCTCTTCCTCAGGGGTAAAGGAAGACTCCATCTAAAAAAATGTTTATAGTAAAACCTCTTGTAACTGTTCCTTGTAAGAGTAAAATCTATCTTTATTATTAACTAGGTGGACAAGAAAAATATTTGTAGGCTTAAAAACCTCCACAGAACAATCCTAACCCCAAATATATTTTCTACCTTAAAAAGTATTTTTCACTGGAAACTTAAAAAGGAACCAGTTTTGTTTTTCTTTCAGGCAATTCATTGCTCTTTATATTTTTATGCAGTTACTGTGTAAAAAAAAAAAAAAAAAAAAAAAAATGGCGCCAATGAAAATTAACCTTGTTAAATAGAAATAACAGCAACGAAAATGTTTTCATCAACAACAAAGGTTGTAAAAATCAACATTTCTTGGTTAAACATTTGCAATAAGAATTTATGTAGGGATACATTTATAGACTAAAGAATCATTTTACTGTCATAATAACCAGCTGAAATCCAAATCTTGACCTTTCATAAACTTGATTTGATAAAAGTATAAACTTCAGAGAAAATAAACAAATGACAAAGGACTGAAAAGATTCTTTCCCCTTTTTTTTTTAAGTGGCTTAATAAGGAGAAATTGTTATTCAAATTGGAAACAAATTAAATATCCTAATTAGTCAGGTCAGTGTGGTCCAGATTAAGTGTGATTAAGAGATTTATAAAAGATGTGGTTGGTAAAGAGCTTCATTAAAGAAGTAGTCATTAAATATAGCAAATACAGAGAATGACCAAAAGTTTCTTTACAACTTTTGATAAATGGTGTCTAGATGTTAAAATTAGTCATTTTTATTTGAATCCTACAACAGTCATAAATGGAGGTGTAAGTAATTAAGCAAACTAGGATTAGCCACTTAATAGAGAAAATTAATCCAAGGAAAGAAAAATCATAAAGATTATCAGAAGAATGAAAAAAAAAAAAATTACAACTCTTAAGAGTTTAAATATTTCACTTCTAAAAGTATTACTATATCTTATTTAATCTTTATTCAGTATAATATTACTTTTCTCATTTTTGAAGAAAAAAAAAAACAAACCTTAAGTACTAGGTATACAATTTGAAACTGCTTAAACACTAATCAACTTTCTTTATTAGCGAGTCAAGCTTTTAATTATTAAAAGTTCATAATGCTAATATAGTAATGAATCCAGAAAAGTAAATAATGAAAAGTGTTGGAAAAGTATATTGATCTAATAAGCTATTAATAGTAAATTTGGATATCATAAGGTAGTGAAAAACATTAAGCTTGTATCAAAACAAGATGGCGGTTTGGGAGAAGGGTACTGAAATATATGATATTTGAAAAAAAGAGATTTATAGATTGCATGAAAGAGACATGAAAATATATTTAAAATGTGTTTATTTTTTTTTTTTTTATAAACAATTCATTTTTGTTTTATCTGATATGTTTTACAGCCTTCTTCATGTGTAGAATCTGTATAGAAAGAAAGGTATGTTTCTTTTTTCTTTTCTTTTTTTTTGAGAGAGGAGAGTGAGAGACACCCAAGGAAGGCTGAAATGCAGTTGGCAACAACAACAAAAATGTAAGATCAGTCTAGACACTTTTTGCCAAAAGAAATTTGCTTTCTTGTCTCAATGATTTTACCATATTCAAAATGTTAATTTTTTTTTTATTTACGGTTATAAACAATTATGTTTCATTTTGAAACAAAACTTTACATATTTCTGCTGGCACCAGTTTCTATTTCTTTGAATACACATAAAATATTACATTTTAAGTGTAGCCAAAAGGCTAAGAAGTGGTAAAATAATATATAAAAACAAAATTAACCCAAGCTGATTCTAATTAATAAGCAAACCTAATAGATTGATTGGCTTATCAACCCTTTGCAGGTTATTTAAAGCCAGAAAATATTTTTAGATTTTAAGAATTTTTTTTTGAGGGGGGGGGATAATGATTTAGTGACAACAAGTCTTACTAATGAACCCATAGCTGGGAAGAGAAGAGGTGGGTATTTGCACATAAGTGAATATAACAAACCCAACTGGAATTGGAACTCTACTGTCCAATTAACAATTCTGAATCATTATCTATTAGAACACCTGCGCATCACATCTTACAGCACCTGATATTCCCAAGTGGTAACCTATCTAGGTACTGACCAGGTTCGACATTGCTTAACTTTGGTGATAATGTGGGAACTGGTGTTTCAATGTGATGTAGCCATAAGTATAGTTGCAGTATAAACCATGTTAGCAAACACAAATGGGCCTGAGCAACCTAACAGATGAACAAACTCAGAAACAAGCAGTCAGTCATTATCTATAAACTATCTCCCTTCATTGAATACATGCATAAATAAAAGCCTAGTTTAATTTTTGTTGAGTCCTACAAAAGACCTTGTAGTACATTGACAAGTTTGTAAGCTGGCATAGTTATTAGCCGAGTTATTGACTGTATAAACATTCAATAGATGTAATATTCAACACTGAATTAAGTACATTGACAAAGAAGGTGTTTATGTTGAAAAAAAAAAATTATGTAATATAAATGCTTTTGTACCATTGGGCTGCAGACTTATTAATTTACATACATATTATTAAATGCAGTTCAATATAATGCAGCTGATATATTTTTGACTTTGTATTTTAAAAAAAAAAAATGCTCTTAAATAGGTGCTGGAGGGAGCCATCAGTGATGTAAATTGATTTGATGCATCAAGGATTTTCTGGTCTTTCAACATCATACACTCCATCACCAAGCCAACCCAATCCGGGAAGATCAATCCCTGATTACCCCTCGCAATCAAACACTAGCAGGGGGTTGGGGATGTTATCTGGCTTCTTTGTTTTTTTTTTTTCCTTGGTGGATAGCAGCTTCAGTGGATAACTGAGGAGGTAATTTAATGTTCTTAAACTTAACCCTTTATGTTATTCCCCAAGTAAGGTCTGGTGCCTTACTCTAAAAATTTACAGTTTTGATTTGTTCATTTCTACTATAAAACTATAACTTAAAACTACTTTTAAACATGTCATTTGAATGATTATTGAAGTCAACTATTAGTAGTTGGGGGTGTGGCGGAAAAAAACCCAAAAAAACTTGCCCCTACTATCACATTTTTATAAATGTCGTTTAACCTGATTCTTAACATTATTACAGGTCAGTTACCTTTTAAAAGGATGTATTCTCAAGTCTTCAAATAATCATTTGATCTCCATAAACATGCAGTGTCTTAACTATACACAAATAATGCAAAGAATAAAGTATACAACAATGTTCATTAAAACAAACTAATTAAATACTCTATTAGTATAAATTATGAAGTTGGTTAAAATACAATAAACTATGAAATACTCTTGTAAATAGGTTAAATTACAAAAGGAATGGGGAATGATCTGCCTTACAAAATAATTTCATGCTTATTAAAAGAAAAATAATAGTAATAATTAAATACAAATGAAAGCCAAAATGTCTTATGATGCATATCAAGCTCAAAACTGACAAAAAATAAAAGAAAAAATAAAATGAAAAATTATAATGACATACCAACAATATAAAATGACAATCGAAAAAACAGACTAATTAAATACACTATGTATGTTATGATAGTGATTAATATATACAAAAATGTGAAATAATCATGTAAATAGGCTAAATTATGAAAGGAAAAAAAAGAGAGAGAAAAAAAATTATTTTATGCTTATAATTGTTTAAAAAAATAAAAATAAATAATATGAAGACAAAATGTCTTACGATGCATATCGCACTTAAAACCGCTAAAAGATAAATAATAAATTAAAAATTACCACGTATAAAATTAAATAAAAGCCTAGTTTAATTTTTGTTGAGTCCTACAAAAGACCTTGTAGTACATTGACAAGTTTGTAAGCTGGCATAGTTATTAGCCGAGTTATTGACTGTATAAACATTCAATAGATGTAATATTCAACACTGAATTAAGTACATTGACAAAGAAGGTGTTTATGTTGAAAAAAAAAAAAAAAAAAAAAAAAAAATTTGTGTAAAATAAATGCTTTTGTACCATTGGGCTGCAGACTTATTGATTCACATATTATTAAATGCAGTTCAATATAATGGAGCAGATATATTTTTGACTTTGTACATTCTTTTTAATTCTTTTGTGTATACATACATACATACATACATACATAAACTTGTTCTCAACTTTTTTCATTAACAATTTATGAAACACTTAATATGTTTAAAGATCTCTACTTTCGAGACATTTGCTGATCTATGCAGTAATACCCCTGCCTAGGAAGGCGGAGGTGCTGCAAAAGTTCTTAGTCTTTTGAAAGTGGGTTGGGCTAACCAAAATCAGACAGAATGCTTTGGAATCTCTCCACCATGCTTACATAGTGGCATAATTTCTTTTGTCAGCAAAGAACTAAGACTTTTTCTTAAAATTTAAATTATCCTCTCCTGCAGTAATTTTGTGGAAAAAGTCTATCTCTCCCACGTAGGCCTTATAAACCATGTTGGAACCTGCTACAAACCATGTGGAAAGCCATCTCTCAATTTTCATTCAAGAAATCAAGCCATGAATGAGAGCATGATCCATTAAAATGATGGGATTATTTACACATGGATTAATGCAGAGGCATCAGAACATAATTGCCATTCCTTGACCCTCCGACTACTTTGTACGTTTATTTTAACATGGTGTTCAAGCAGAAGAGTATTGAAGAAATAAATCTATCAATTTTACATACCCCCACCATGTTTCCCTTCAGGTCAGACATTTGAAGGATTTACTAGTTAATTTTATATAGTTGTTTGCTTCATAAGCAGAGAAATGAAGAAACATATAGAAAAATGATATAATGTTTATTATTATATAATATGAAACTCATCAATTACCACAAAAACCAGGAAAGTAATAAAACTTAATATGGCTTCACGTTAGATGTGTAAGCCTTTGAGAATATTAATTTTGAAAACCAAATCTATTTTTCAGCAGTGGATATTAATAAATAAGTTTCTACCTATAATTAATGTAGGTTTCTAAAAAAAAAAAAAAAAAAAAAAAAAACAAAAACATACACATCTGATAATTAATACAGGATCTTTATAATTAATACCAGATTTTATGGTAGGCATTAATGGGTTAAGATAAAATTTAGGACTTCCGGTTGTTCTTCAGTAGAAATCCAAGCAGAAGCAGCCAATATTATCACCTTCCTCTTCCCACTACTACCAGAAACTGGTGGCAGTACTAAAGATGTCAGCAGCAGGGTAGAAACTTTACTGGTACCTACTAACAATGATATAAGCCAATGTTTTTTCTTATAAATACCATGTCTCTTCAGGATGCAAGCAGTCATAACTCTCCACAACTTCCTTTTCTTCATTATCTATAAATTATTAGGATTTCTAGTGTTAAAAGTCATTTCCTGTTGCCAACCAAGTCTATAGAACCAAGTCTATAGAACCCAGTCTACCTTGCTATTTATAGTTAAGGGGACAAGAAACAGATTCACATTTTTTCCAAGGGCATTAGTATGAAGTGAATGAAACACAATCACTTAGAATTTGAAGTCTGCTTGCCAATTCCACTTCCCGTGTGGAAAACCATCATGCTACCTGTATATCCCAGCATTATATTCTTCTATGTGCTTAATCCTTTCAGGATCTCGTTTTGCTATATCTCCTAATCCCTGTTCTGCAAACTATACTGAATTTAGCAGATGACAGAGATTGCAATCAGAAATGCTTCCATGTCTACAAATAGTTAGACACAATCAAACTGTCATCTTCATCAATATTTGATCAATTGAACCATTTTAGAAATATTCCACTTTTTTCACTTCCCCAATGTCTATATGTTTAAATTGATTTGGAAACTAAGTGTTAATTAGTTTATAATACAAATGCTCAGGATGAATATATATATATATATATATATATATATATATATATATATATATATATATATATATATATAGGTAATCTAAGTTACATAAAGATGTACAAGTACATTTGCAGCAGTAGAAGTATTAAAGTGGGGTGGGGGTATTCATGTAGGTTTTAAAATCCAACATCTCCAGCAGGGAAGATTGTAAAATGTATGAAAGAATATCCAAGCCTATTGATAAAAGATTGAAATTGATGGAAATTGTTTATCCTGCCTATTTGTAGATTGTGGTCTCTCTGTCATCTGGTAGAATTCAGTATATTTTAGAGAACAGGGATTAGGAGAAATAGCAAAAAGACAAATCATTAACAGATTATTTTCAGAAAACTTTTAGTTGAGAATATTATCAACAAAAGTTAAATATATATTTAAAACATTAGTTTGTTTATTATTCTGAAATATCAGAATCAAATTCTGATGTAAATAGTTTACATCATAAAAAAAAAAAATCTCTAAGCATATTGCGTGTATGTATTTCATCAAAGTCAAAGAACCTTAGACAAACTGGAAGGAACAAAAAAATTTTTTTATAGAAGCTATAAAGAGACAAAATTCATCAGAACAAACTGCAGGACACAAACAACTGCCTCTTTCTTCAGTCATTATATTGCATGATGTCTGGGTTACCAGATCTGAATTTTAAGTAATAAGCTGAAGGACTGAAACTAACAAATGTGCAAAAAAAAAAAAAAAAAAAATCATTTTTTTCCCTTCTTTTTTCTTTAAATTAAATTCACTTTTTAGTGCAATATATTTTAACATGCTAAAAGTACATTACAGAGTACAAAATTTTAATGGTTTTATTAATATTATTACAGCATACATTTAATTGTTTAAAAAATGTATAAATAATCAATAGTGACTTCCTTCTCATTAGTCGCCCAATTTGGCCCAGTTATTTTAAAAGACCCACCACCCATCCAGTCTCAAGCAGCCAAATTCAAAATTTAGCAGCACTGAGCTTTCAAAAATAACCCAATCTAGCAACTCTGCTAGCAGTACTAGTTTATTTCTGTAAATATTTTATACAAGAATTTTATGTTTATTCTCAGATGTAAAGATTGATTTGGGACGGGGTTTTGGGAGTTCTGCAGTCATACAAAACTGGGAAACTGATAAATTATGTAGAAATTGAGAGTTTGTTAAACAGTCTTATCAGTTCCCAAGTTCTCAAACCTTATACATTCAAGGAGAAACAGGTAAAGTTTCAAAAATCAAGGTCATCCACCTCCAAATGATTTTTATCTTTTGTCAAAGGATCCATTGAGACACAAACATTGTTTTGTAGA